GAAAGAAACTGTTCTTATGGCGAGACCATAAGAACAGTTTCTCCCCCTCTGCTGTCGGACTCATGAACAATAACCGTATGACTGTTCCCACCACTAACACATGACGCTACACTGTTCACTGCATCATTCCATGTTTGGCACTGATCACCACCTGCACTCATGTATATATCTATCTACTTAGCACTTTTAATTTTAATTTTCATGTTTATTTAAGCGTTATCTGACAGTATGTTTGCACTAAGTACTGCAGCAATTTCCTAATGTTGCAAACCTGCTCAACATTTGGCAATAAAACCCTTTCTGATTCTGATTCTGAAATGTGTTTGTGTCTAAAACACTTTAGGCCAACTTCTGTTGTTTAAATGTGCTATAGATGTTAAATAAAATACTGGATCATTTTCAGTGCTGAACTTAGACGATAGAAACAAAGTATCGATCCAGCACTGAAAGCCGTGTGGCTGCTGATAGCATCGATATGAACATTTTGCTACTTTTTCTCTGTTTCTGTCACCGTGATCACACTGGAGTTTTTTCACTGCTGTTCCACAGTTTTCTTTTACAGGCCAGCCCCAGTACAGTTGGTCAAAGTTTGTTTTTTAATGAGCATACAGTAGGAGTCAAACCTGATTTTCGACATGATATTTAAGTAATATTTGTTACTGCTTTCATTGTCTGAGTGCCAGCATGTTCAACCTAAACACAGCCCCACCTGCAGTTTTCTCTGGTTCACATTTGGCACATGTGAATCATTTATGGATCAATTCGTGGTGACATCTGGACCACATCTGTATTCAGCAAAAATGAATTATTATTAGGACATCCTTTCCTTCTCACAGTAACCCTCACAGGCACATGACCGTGGTTATCAACTCTGTAAGTTACCAGGGGTTTCTGAATATAGCTATTAAAAACAGAGAATATGTTGACTTCACATGAACGATCACAAACAGCCTCCTCTAGCAGCAAAATTACAATTAAAAAACACTTTTTCCTTTTAGGGAAAGGCCGTATAACTATTGTAAATGACCACGGCAGACCCGGTGACATTAACATGCTTTGCACACACTGTTGCTGTTCACAATACACACAGAGCTCACCACAACAACACCCCCAACCAGAGAACCCAGTGCAATATTTAAGGCGTGATTGCGGATGCCGTGCAGGGGCGTCCGCCTTCCCTGCATGGCACCACAGGCCACGCCCCGCCACACCTATATATCTTTGTGGTCTCCTGTCAAAAACATGGATGTGGGACCTGCTGTTCTGCTAACCGCACCTCGTGAATACCATGACGTGTGACTTACAAGAAAATGTACGAGAGCTGAAACAAAAGTGAAACTTGGATTTAAAACAGGTTGAACAAGCTAACAGGTGGCTGTGTTCCTGAGAAACAAAACAACGGCCGATGATTTTTAGTCCCCGTCCTCCCTTTAGATCTGCTTCTCCTGCTCCCTAGTGTTCGTCACCTTCAAGAAGAAACAGAGCATCTTTCAAAGTGCATTTATTGGGTGTATTTGGCGATTGAAGAATAGTCCGTGTCTTTGCCTCGAGGTTACTTTTGCAGTTTGCTGTGGGTTATTATCCACTTACACTGTGAAGCTCTGCCTGATCAGTTTCACAGCATTTGTCACATCACAGTTCATCCTGCTGCCGCGATCAGCCATCACAGCAATGACCTCGTTCTACTGGCAGGCCTACAAGCTCCTGCCCTAACGTTGCTTTCACCATGTTTGATGGATGATGTGCATGCTTCTGTCTTTCTCCATACCTTTCTCTTCCCATCAGTTTCATCTTGGTTCCATCTGTTTAAGTATTATTTCTCTTTTAGATGTTTTCTGACTGATTCTGGAATGAACTCCAGATCTTTTAGTCATTTACTTTGTCATGATGGAGCAGGCCTAACCTGGCAGTGAAACTGTTCCTCCATCACTATCTACTAGTTTTGGGCCTCTAAAAAAGGGGGACTGTGTATAAAGATAACTGTCATTCCTAAGCAGTTAATACGATACTTCTGTTAACCTCCTTGAATTAAAGCTGAAGGCGTGCACTTTAATTTTACTCAGATCTTGATTTCTAAAAATCTTGACTGGATTTAAAATCCACTGTGGTCGTGTACAGTCCAGGCCTGACAGTATGCCAGCCATATTCCCATAAGATGTTTTATGTGATGAGAAATGTAAGAGAGGACACAGCAGAGCGATGGAAACTTTAATACTGGTAGGAATGTAGTTGGACAGGTGATTCCCATTTGCACATTTCCTTCTGATAGTTCTGACTGCCTGTAATTTGTCTTAACAAGAGCACCTACGACGACGTAAAACTACAGCTTATTGCACCAGCAGCATCTGCTTTTATATAACTTTCCCGACGTGTAAAATACTGACGATTTGTCACGTCCCTTAACTCCTCATGCTGACGCTAAAGGTACCCTTCCACGTTTTTATGAGACACGGTGGGTTGTCAATTCATTCCAATATGAACCCGCTCGCGGCGATAAGAGATGAAGATAATCAACAGCTTGGTGCTACCCGTTATTCCTTTATTTACTCTAAAATAATAACCAGCGATAATACGAAAATAATCAGGCCCAGTGTTTAATTATGTAATTACAAATTGCAAATTTTATTTTATTTTATTTATTTTATTTTTTTTTACAAATTGCAATATTTATCTGCAGCGCACCTTTAGCGACACGTCAACAGATCTTAAGCAAGGCGATTGGATGGTTTTTACTGCAATGCATCTTGGGAGTAGTAGTAAATGTATCTTTCAACTCACGGTCCTGCAGCGAATTTTTCGACTCGACACGAGGCAGATCTTAGCTAAGTAAGTTGTGATAAACTGTGGGTAATTTGCATGTTCACTGAAATATTAATCAGCGGATATTAAACTTGAAATGTTTTCACAGAGCAGTCTGTGTACCAAGAGAACTACTTCTGCAAAAGTTTATTTAGTTTTTTTTTGTGATGTATTCTCATGTGTAAGACACTTGCTTGGCCCAGCTAATGTTAGTACTGCTCTATTTTAGCAATGCATCTTTTCTGTAATTAATTCAGTTTTTTTTAACCCTATTCTCGTAATTAACTCAATATTTACGACTGTAATCTCGTAATTGATTTTTTTTCTAAATATGGTGTAATACTGCCTCGTAATATAGGTTATTTCTTTGCTCATAAATTATTTTTGTAATCATTTCACCAAAACAGACCTGAAATAATCCCTACATGTTCCATTTTCATTTGCAGAAATGACAAAGCCAAAAACCAAACCATGCCCTTCCTG